ACGACAGTCTGAATCAGATTTAAGCTTGATGCGTGTTAGTACACGAATGGAAAAGGTTAACTCGGCTTTCTCAACTTTGGATTCCCACCAAATTGCAACAAACATTTCAGATACACTTGTCAATCTCCCACCAGTCTACACATACTTCTATTTGTGCGTAATTGTCTCAAGTGATGGGTTCGTAAAAATCAGCGTCTTGGTGCCTTCACCAAAACAGGACTTGATCTTACAATTCTTGAGCAGTATGGGCGACGTTAAAGAAACACAAATCGCACTACACAACGATATCATGAGTACACTCGGAACAACTCCACTCTTCGTCGAGTACACGTACCTTAACCAAGGGTATGGGTACGACGTCTACAAAGAGGGCGCAGACGTCCTCGTCCACTACAACCTCGGCACAGAATCGCGTTAATCACTCATTCAAACCAGTTACTTGTTAAACCATTTTTTCTTCTTTCTTTCTCATAATTGTTGACTTTTACAAAACTCGTCTTTATAGTAAAGTCTCTCCATAAACCTTATTTATTCCATTAATTTTATTTATTGTCAATTTTTAATAAAAATGTTCCTAACTCACGGGAAAAGATATATAAGCCTAAAAAAGGATATTATAAATATAATTATTTAAAAATTATTTAAAAAAATAAAACTAATATCTTATACAGGGCTGCAAACCTCAATTAAATAATAGTTTTTTGAAAAAGAAAAAATGGCATTTTATCTTTTTGGATAAAATAAAAAATCCTATACACAAAAGAATGTTTTTGCTCAATTTGATGAAAATAATCATAAAAATTAAAAAATATGCTGTTTTGGGAATGTTTTTGAATAATATGCTCAAAATTGCACATTATTCGCTTTTTCAAATAATAAGACCAAAAGTGTTTTGAATAACAAAAAATAACCAGAAAAAACAAATAAGAAAAATTTAATTATTTAAACCAAAAACTAAAGAAAAATAAAACAAATAACTTTTTGAGAGAAATTTTTTTATTGAATGGCATAAATAAATAATATGAAAATGTTATTGGAATTATGTAAAATAAAAATGTCGTCATTACATTTTGTGTTAAAACATGATTTATAATTTAACTTGTTCAAACCTTCAAGTAATCACTGTTTCATTGTATTTATTAAACACGAATCAATGTATCAAATAAAACACCAAAAGAGTTTTGATACATTTTTCAATTGAAACATCGGCATTATTATAACCAAAATATAAAATAAAGTGACTTAATATCTTGACACATATTAATTTATATGACAGTTTGTTGTTTTATATGAAAATTATAATAAATAAATTGACATTACAAGGTTGGACGATACCAATTGAATATATTTATTTTTATGTTCATTTGTTGTGTTCTAAACAGCACATTTGATAATAAAAATAATAATAGTTTTATTTAAAATTCAATACAACTCGTTAACAACTTTGCATCGAATTATACAATTATTAACAATTTGTTTTGACTCACAAAAAAGTTTATGTCATTGTAAAAATACATATTATTTATAATTGGTTATATGTATAATCATTATATAAACACAGTCAAATGGTCACTGAATTGTTTATTGTCACATTATTATATTATCAATTATTATTTCAAACAAATTGTTAATGTTGAAGGTATTAGATATTTTAGAGTAATGTCACACCCAGCTTAATTGTTATTTAAACGTACTTATTATTTATGGTATTATTTATTAATTTAAAATTATAATTTAATAATATGTTTATTTCCCAAACTAAAAATATTTTAATCTATTCAATTAATAACCACTTATTTATATTTGCCAAACGATTCACATAATAAAAGTATTTGGAAAAGTTAATCTACGAAAAGTGTGTTATTTTCAAATGAACTCATAAAACTATTTATTACTGTGACATGTAAATTTTAAAATGTATAGATTAAAAACAATCAATGTTTTTTCTTCATATTAATTAAACTATATAAACAAATTAAAAAACTGATTAAACAAGACTTAAATTTGAATGAATAACACACCTATGTTTTATTCAAATTATAACACTTTAAGTCGTTCAAGTAGAAAATATGAATTGATGTGTTTAAACGGTTATTGCTATAAGCATTATTCAAAAGATGAGAAGACTAAACATAGGATTCAAAACGTCGAATCGGTATACATTTGTAGTGCAAATAGTAAAGGATGTTGTTCCGAAGTTATTTTGTTTGAAGATGGCAATTTTCAAGTAGTAGGGATTCACAATTGTAATTATGATCATTTGAACATGTTAAAGATTAGATCTAATCATCAAATATGTTATTCTATTATTGAAGAAAATTTGGTTAATTAAATCCCGACAAATACTCAATTTGTTGATAAACAATCCAAAATATATGAAAGACGAAACAAAAACGCGTGATTATTACCTTCCATTTATCAAGAAAATACAAAGCAAGTTAATTGGACCGCTTCCAGTAGATTTTGATTCATACAACTTACCAGATTATTTGAAACACATTTCAAGAAAAGAAAACGTTTATGATGATAACACCATTTTATTATTTCACGACTCAAAAATACAAGATCAAACCGAACCACGTTTTTTAATCTATTCGTCTGCATTTCGACAAACTGTTGCAAAAAAGTCTTCAGAATTTTTCGGAGATGGAACTTACAAAATCGCTTCATTGATTATACAATGTGTGTACACTATCCATGCACTCATTGACAAAATTACATTTCCAGTCGCTTTTGTTTTTTTCCAAATGAACAAAAATCAACATTCTAAAAAGTATTCAATGTAATCAAACCCTTTATTTGTTACAATGAAAGTGGTATTTTGAAAACAGAAATATTTTTTATGTATGATTGTCAACCATCAGCTTTTCTTAGTGCTCAAAAAGTTTTTTCTTGTTCGATTCGTATTTGTTTTTTTTTTACATTAAACAAGCACTTTGGAGGAAAGTTGCTGAAGTTGGTTTATCTATCAGATACACTCAAGAACCATTGGTTCATCTTTGGGTAAGACGTCTGATGTCACTTTTTTGTTCCCGATGAAAAAAATTAAAAAAAAAGTTTTGATAAATGTTTTTAACAGCTTGCTTTTGATAACAAATTTGGTTTGAATGGAAATGATGCTGAAATTTTTTTTTTGAAAATCGTAAACTATTACGAACATCAATGGTTGTTGACCGAAGAACACATCAAAAGATATTGCCAATTCAAACAACCTGACAGAACAAACAACAGAAGTGAGGGCTACCACAGCGGATTATCACAGCTTGTTAACAGAATACATCCAAACATCAACGTTTTAATTCAAATGTTAAAACAAATTGAGAATGTTGCTTATTCAAATTATATTTCATATTTGAATGGATCACTAAAAACTTCAATACCCAAAAATGTACAAGAATTTTATCTTCAAATTGATGAAATCAACAACAAAATGAACGATGGATTGTTTTTATCTGAACTTTCGTATTTGGATTCAATTTCCATTAAATACACAAGCTTTTATTTTGTGTGTAAAGCAACTAAAAAATCTTCAAGTTATAACTCGATAAAAATAAGCAAAAAATGCTTAAAGATATGATTCTAATTTCCGAAACTTAATGTAACGACATCCAATTAAATCAAGAAGAAATGTTTAACTCTACAATACTGGAAATAACACAAACTGAATTATCTCTCGTCGACAATGAAATGTCAAAAAGTGTGAGTATCGATGTTGATGGAAACACAACGTTTAAAACAATAAAAATAATTATGTTTATGTTTACCCTGGCAGACATTTTTTTGCCGAGCTTTGTGTTTTTTGAAAGCTTTTTGTTCCAAAAGAACACTTTATATTTTTTAAGTATCCCGTTTTTGTCAACGAAACAGGCCTTTGTTAAAACCAAAAAACAATAAAAGAAAAAAAAATATTTTTAAATTTAAAAGTCGAATTAAATTAACGAAGTATAGGGGTCATATAAATTGGTTGTTTTCCATCAATTAGTTGAAGATTTTGGTAGAACTTCGAGAACTTAAAAATGTAATTTTTATTGAATAATTACGATATGTTGCTTTCCATCAAAAAAGGAAAAACCTAATCTGCACTTTTGAGAAACGGTACAAAAATATTATAACGTTCTAATTATATAAACAATTTGAACTATTTATAATAATAGATAAATATAAATAATCTATATTTAAATACAATAAAAATAGTTTAACAATGAAACATCAAGAAAAACAATCATTAAATAGACTTCCTTAATCAGTCATACTGTTATAATAATCGACAGTGGAAAAAAGAATCCTCTCAATCTACGATTCGTGGAAGGCAAAAGACCGTCTTGAAATAATAGTCAGTGCCTTCAAGCAATCAAAAATAACTTTAAGTCTGCTATTTTCGACAAACTTATTGTCCGTATCGTCATGGCGGACTTGTTGTCTGTACCATTTTCAGACATTGATTGTTTTTTTGTTCATTTAGTTTCATTCACAGTTCAACTCTTACTTTTTTATTAATATTAAATTGTTTCATTTTCAATATTTTTTACATGATTTATTGTAAAAATACAATTTTTTCGTATCATCATTTAAAATAATTTTAAAATAATTGAAAATATATTATTTAAAAATATTTCACAATAATTAAAAAAATTAATCAATACAATTTTAAAATCGAACGACTAAAATACAAAATACAAAAAACAAAATACAATATTGTATTTTTAAATATGTGTAAATAAAATTTATTTTTACAGTTCAAAATTAACACTGATTTGTATTTTTCAAGTTAAAAAACATTTACAATTTGGTGTTTTGCAATATTTCAAAAAGCATTATTTTACATGTTACGAATTTAAGTGTCTGGTATTTTACAATTTACGTTTCAAAAAATAAAGAAATACAGATCTTGATTTAAAAATAATATTTTAAAAGCAAAATCAATACATTTTTATTTTTAAATAAAAACACGATTTAACATTCTTTTTAGGATTTTTTTCATTTGTGAAAGTTTTCTTTTTAAACTTAAATAACAATTGAATATAAACTATACATTGGGGTTTTGATGTTTGTAAACAAAAATAACTTTACAATTATGATTGAATAATATATTTCGGGGAAAATTAAATGATAAAATGTTAATATATTATTGATTGTTATATTAAAAATTAATTATTTTGTCAAGAAACACGAATTATTGATAAAAAAGAAACAAGTTCTTTAATTATTTCTTTCGCTTTTCCAACCTCGCTTTTCTTTCTTTTTCAGTTTCTAACATCAATTTTTTGGTATTTTTGGAGCCGGAATTTCTTCCAATTCATCTCCATATAAAAAAGTCTCATACATCTTGAGTAAGCAACGTCGACTTTGCAGACTTTATATGTTCTCGATGACTCGGACGTGTCTTCAACTTTGCGGTCACAAATAGCAGACTGTAAA